AAGCTGCTGGAGGGCCGAGTCACAGCGGGGCGTCGCGGTGTCTCGCCCTCGCCAACGCGCAGCGACAGCCCCAGGCTCTCCAGGTCGCGGGCTCCACAGTGGCGGTCAGCCACGGGGGCGGGGGCCTCGGAGGCGTCGGCCCGAGCGTCTGCGCCGGTCGCGAAGACGCGCCCGTCTGTAGCCCGCGCGTGCATCCATGAGTCAGGCGCGCCTCCCAGGCGGGAGCGCCCTGGGTCGCCGCCGGTCGCGCCGTCATTTTTGTGAGGGGCGTCTCCAAGCGCGGGCGCGCCCTCTGCGGCGCCCGACTGTGGCCGCGATGCTGTCTCTGGGGGACGCGCGCGTTCGGGCGCACTTTCGGCCTCCATCGCGGTGCTGCTCCAGTGGCGCTGATAGGAATGAGGAACAGCGCGGGTGTCCGCCTGTCGGTCTTTAGAAGGGGGGTGGGCCGACACGCCGCGGCCGCGGCTGAAGCCCCATCGACGCCCCCGTCCACCCTTCCCACTTGGAGCTGGGGTCGCGCCTGCAACAGCCGGAGGGCCGCGGCCGGCGCCGCCGCCGCCGCCTGCTGCCAGCGGCGGAGCCCCCGAAGCCGACGCGGAACCGGCCATAGCAGCAGCAAGCGCCGCCTGAATACCAACAAAATCCACGGCTGGAAGGCCCCCGGGCGGCGTTGAGCCGCGCTGCCGCTTGCGAAGCGGCGTGGCGGCGGCGCACGCCTGAGCAGCACTGGCTACAGCGCGTGCCACGTCGCTCGTTCGACGAGCGATGCGCGCGCCCACCGGGCGCGCGGGGCATGCGCGCGAGCGCGCGAGCACCCTGGCCATTTCCTGCACAAGGCCCTACTCGGCCGGGGACCCGCGCGAGGCGGGGCTGCGGCGCCCGCTCCACGTCCGGCTCAGAGCCGCGCTTGGAACGGGCGCCGCAGCGCCGCCCCAGAGCCCCAGCCAGAACGCGCGCCGCTGGCCTCACTCGGACTGCCCGGGCGGAGAGCGCCGGGGGCGCAAAGGCCCGATATAGCAGAACGGCGCCCATGGCTGTACCCATCATGCCCAAGTGCGGTCCCGCGGCGCCCGCTCCGCGCCCGGCTCAAGCCGCGCTCGGAACATGCGCCGCAGCGCCGCCAAAGAGCCCCGACCACATAGGGCGACCGCCCGGGGGGAAAGCGGCGAGCCATGAGCCCGCCGCCGCTTGACGGGAGAAGCAGCCAACTGCGCGCGCCAGGGCCGCCCTCCACTTCCTTCGCAAAGCTGCGCTTGGACACGCGGCCGCGGCGCACGTGCGCCCGCGCGCGCATAGGCCACCAAATCGCGCATTTACCTTCGCGCCCGCGCGCCAGCCCACCCCGGGGAACCGGGCCGCGCAAGGGCCCCCGACCACGGCGCGTGATTATCTTCACCCCATGCACAGGTGACGACCAAGAAGCGCGCGAAGCAGAATGTTTCCGGAAGCCTCTCCGGGCACCGTGGAACGAGATGCTCGCGCCAAAAGAGGGAACGAAGCGAAAACTGGCCTTGGCAAGCCCCCCCCCCCCCCCCCCCCCCCCCCCCCCCCCAAAGGATCCTTAGGGGGGGGGGGGGGGGGGGTCCGTGATCGCGAGCAGCCGCGCAAATTTTCGCATCGCTTTTTCAACTATCTCTGCAGGAGCCCCGGCTCAGACTGCCCCGCTGCCGCGGGCGAGGCGGGCGGGGGGCTGAGCGCTCGATGCCTCGAGCGGCCGCGAGCGGGGGCGCGCGCGCGGCTGGCCTCGCGCAGCGCCGGCGGCAACGCCCGCGGCTTGGACGGGTCGGCGGCGCGGCTCAAAACGTCGGCCAGCACGTTGGCCGCGCCAGGAATATGCTCGGCGACCAAAGGCCTATGCGCAGCCTCGGCCAGCTCCAGCGCCAGCTCCCTGGCGATGATGTTCAAGCCCCGGCTGGAGCTCTTCAAGCGGAGGACCATGGTCAACATAATTAGTGATGTTGCCCCCGCGCGCGGCGACGGTGGACCGGGGCCGCCGCCTGCGCGCGCGCCACGCGCGGAGGGCGATGAGCATGCAGCATGGTCAACGCCTCGAGGATCTGCCGGCCATCCGGAGCACCAACATCGATGCTAAACAATGATTGGCCCTCCTGCGACACCTCCTTATGCAGATGCTCCCTGGCAGCGCCGCTCTCGACGTGCACCGCGCCGTGGCCCCAAGGGGGGGCGTCGACCACAAACGCGACGCGCTCGGGAGTCGGCGTGCACGCGCGGAAGAGGAACGGCCTGGAAACCGACGGGCCACACTGATGAAGGGACGCCGAAAGCCATAAGAGTGCTGGCCAACACTGCCTGACCCATGCCATGCCCGGCGGGGCGCCTGCAGGAGACGAGCTCGAAGCCCCCAAATCGCACGCAAGAGCGGGCGCCATGCGATCAGCAGCCTCGCGGCGTTGAGGCGCGCAGCGACTGCGTACTGACCACGTTGGTCTCCAGGATGCTGCCTATGATCTCTTTGAGCTCGCTGACTGCGTCGCCCTGC